ATCATCATCATCATCATCATCAAATTCATCAAGTGATTCCGAGTGGAGATTTGGCTGAACGAAGATATCATTTCTCCATGTACAATACATTTATCTGCATTTTTGACTGTATATATATATATATATGTGTTTTCAATTATTTGGTCATTTTGAAATCATGAGCATTCAGTAAAGAAATGTATTTCATTGGCCTACCTCATAATTAATTAAATTCCAACAACTATGAACAAAAATGAAATAAAGTTGAGTTAAATAATTACCAAACTTTAACTATTTTTGTTTGTAGTTTTACAGTTTAATATTTGACCTCTTGATTTATACATTAAATTACATATTAAATTTTATGCTTTGCAACCAAACTTTTTACTCCGTTTAGTGTTATGTTTCTGTTGTGTTGACGCAATCCTTTTTATGAGCATTTTTCATAAACAATAAAGTTTGTTTTACTGAAATGCCTATTGTATTAAATCATAGTGGCTTAATAAAATTAATATCGGAAAAGAATGCATAAAAGAGTGTAAAGCATAGGTATAGCATTTTTGCAGGAAATAAATTTATCTGGGAAAAATATTTTCGGAGATTTAGTGAAAAATACATCATATGGTTGTTAAAACCTTTTCATTCAATGAAAGTGAATCAAAGCTCCTAATTCGGGAATAGGCGACATTACCGACAAAGACTTATAGACAGTATTAGGCTTGAAAGGGTTTGCATATCATGGTTCCCCTCTGTGTCTTTGCGTCAATTTATCATCATATTTATTAGGTTAATTCTCCCAACAGCGATGATGATACACATCTATTAGCAGTCGCATTCTTGCTCCATGATTTCAATTTTGAGTCGGTACTCATCACTTTTGAGCAATTTTTTTAACCTTTCTCAGAACAAATAATTAATATAAAAGTATTGGCGTCTATACCTATGACGTCACCAAATTTAATCGACTAAAATCTTACATGGAAGTCTTCTTCGTTGTAATTCAAAATTATTTACTTTGCTTTGCTTCTTAGTATTAATCATTTTTGAAATGTGATTATTGAACCTTACGTAAATTAAGTAAATTACGGTTGATTAAGGACTACAATTGACGTATTTAAATATTTTACACGATATCTAAGATGAATGTACCACATATATAATGAATTACATCGCCATGTCAATAGTAACAACCTTAAAGTAACGTATCAATGGTACAGATTTTTGAGAAAAAGGGTTTGATTTTAATTTGAAAAAAAATATCTGAACAGCAATTCAATCAATATATAAAATAGTGTTCACGGGAATAGTTGTTGCATGATATTTTATTGTTGATTCTTCAGATATTTAAAAGATGTTGGATGTAATATGTTACAAACCTGTTTATGGAGTAATTTTTATATTTTTACTCTTGATATCAAGTTCAGATTCGACGCATTTAACACATGATACAAAAATTATAGCAAGACAATCGAGGTGAGTATTAAAATATATTGTTTAAACATAAAATGTACTGGTTTTACGAGAGGGTAGAGCACATGCAGCCCATGTGTTGGTGTATTGCGTGTTTTTTACGTAAATGGATAATTCCGAACACCGCTCACAGCTTGGATCTATTGATATGTGTAGATAGCATTCTGTGAACAAATAAATAATTTTTCATTCGTATTATTTTGACTTTAACTTTAGATTACGTTTCGTCATTTGCTGGGGTAGAAGATGTTTCTTTACGCGAAGGATACGGTCCGGTAGTGATGGATCATTAGATCGAAAGCCTTCGATGTCACGTGGGTCGAGCAACAGTAAGTATTTTTACAGAGTTAAAGCCAGATAAACAAAGTATTCAATTGTCTGAATGATAAATAAAACTCGATATGTTGAGGTGAAAAGGTTGTGAGTAGGCAATTGTAAATGAAGTTCAAAATGATTCTCACTATTATAAAAATTTACTTCGGACATGGTGATAACTACCATGGATGCTGGCCACACAAACAGTGTAGTTTCAGACAAATTTATTACGAATTATGAACATGAATTTTAACATCTTGAGACTAAATAATTATTTTTGATGCAACGATTGTTTATATACGTACTTATCCGCACACAAATCAAAGTTGACGATTCGAAATCTAAACTCGAATCCACTGCGGCTGAATATTGTAAAGTCACGCCAGTATCTGTTCATAGTTTCCCAGCGGAAAAAATGCCGACGTTGTGTTTTGGTAATCTTTGGTAATTCCGGGTAATTTTGAAATCATTTATTTTTAGGTTCGGATTCAAGTTCTGGAGGGCAATCAGACTCAGATTGAGGCGGATGGGCTATTATCTAAATTAACATTTGGATGTTATAAAGTTTCAAATATCGTGCAAATTTGACTGTGATAGCTTTGTTGATAAATAGTTTTAGGTTTAAGTCTTTCAACCAACTTGGATCGAACTTTTAGTGCTTCATTACAGGATATATTCGATATTCCTAAAATGTTAATTTTTTTAAACAACTTTAATACTGATAGCAAGGAATGGTATTTTGCTTAAAGTCTGGCATACTACAAACTTATTGCCCAAATATTGTTTTAGAAATATATCACATTTTGATGTATTACGTGCCTGGAAGATTAAATTCCTCAAAGGTGTTAGAATAAAAGCAATGTATTCACTTGGCGTTTTTTTTTAATTATTTCATTGCCGGGAATTTGTTTGGTTTGTAATTTATTTGGTAGTAAATAAAGTCTTTATTTCTTAAAAGTACCATTTCTTTACATATAATTGACGCGGTCTCAAGACCAATAGTTTTATTTTCTTGATATTATTAACATTTTTTTAATGACAATTGCAAAATACTTGTGTTCTTGAATACTTACTTATACTTATACAAAGCCAAAATAAATTATCATGTTTTTCAGAAAAATATAGATTATATATTGTTGCTTGTTCGTGTCATTTGCGTCACGTGAATTCACCTCTCACATACGACGACAAGCAGTCGAACGTATTCTTTAACAGAGATCGGAATTAATTTTAATTAACCATAATTAAACGCGTAATAGAATTTCTTAGGATTACGCGAAGTTCAATGCAATTATCTATAGCCCCAAGAAACATATACTTAGAAAAATCAAGTACAGAATGAGAATGAAAAGGTAACAAATCCGATTGCCGACAATTTTTGCTTGAAATTCATTCGATCGGGAGAACATATGAAGATTTTTGTCAAAGATACCGGTCATGAACCACATGAATGGCATATTGCCTTCAATTACTCTTATTTTAATTACACTATTATGAATACCAATTAATAATTAATGCTTGTTAACAAATGTTTTATCCAAGGGCCTCGTGTTGGTTGAATTCTCTCTCCATTCTTACCAAATTTACTGAAATGGAGTGCTAAATAAATAAATAAAAACCGTTTTATAAGATGTTGATTTTTTGCCCTCTAGTTTAATATAATGACACCATGTCACTCCAGGCCAGTGCTCAAATATTACTGACATGCATCCCAGGAATTAAACTGGAACAGCGAAATGTCGGGTGAAATATCGGACACCCATATGTCCCAAAAGTAATGATGAAACGAAAGCAATAGTCTCCGCAAAATCTAGTACAGAAGTACAGAAAACAAATCGTTTGGTTTATTTGTTGAGGAGAAAGCGATGTTTAAGAATAACCAGCGATACTATCCATGTGTAAACTGGTTTCAATTACAATACACACAATATCATATACTTGACAACCTATTTTTAAATGTTATATATCTTTCTGCATTCAAGCCCCCTATAGTTTGGAACTCTCAATATTCACTTAAACATATTTCGTTTTCATCTTTCTTATTGCACGCTACTTGTGTTTCAAAAGAAAGAGAAAAGAAAGTTAAAAAAATGGAATCAAGAAATCCCGATAATCACGGTCAAAAAATTGATAAAATAATGTAACAAGTACAACACGAAATTGAACAAAGTAAAGGATTTGATTTTTCATTACAGCTATCGACTAAACTCATACCTCAAAAGCAAAAAATTGTATCGTAACAAGTATCAAGTCAAAATATAAATTAATGAAGTCATAGCATGATTACCTCAAAAAATCAGATATAAAATTTGAAGTTCTAAAATTTCTAAAAAGAGTTCTACTTCCGGACTGGATTTGATTGTGTAAATTGCTGTGACTTCCTTTAAAATATCAGTGGGTTTGAAATATTGTTACCGCATTTTAGTACGTTAGTAATCTTCATCAATAAAAATAAAGGTTTTATTTTTGGGAAAATATATTCCACATTGTTTAAAATGCTTAAAACATACCAAGATATAAAAATGGAATTAGCGTGAAAATCAAATATAATTTCTTCTGTTTAATAAAATACAACAACAACAACATATGGCATAATTTTGTGGTCATGGCAAGATTTGGAATCAGTTCGTATACACAGTAGAAATAAAAAATGGTTATGATTTTGAAGAAGTATAGAAGTACGCTGAAGAAAAATCGGGAATTTTCTCAAATATGTAAACAAAAATTTGACAAAATTAAATGAAAATATTGCATTTTTGATTTTGAAGAAACAGACAAACTTTTTTATAAGTCAATATTGAACTGTATATGTACGCAATATGGATGTGCCTACAACAATTAATTGCTTTATTGAAGTTGATCAAATTTTTACTTTCTATTTTAAAATACTTGTTAGATACCAAGGCTAATCTTGATGGACCCTTTCAAATAATTTTATGACTGTTCAAATTTGACGTCAAAATGAAAACTACGCTTTAAAACTCAAAACAATTGAAATACAAAAAAATATCGTATAATCTTTTGAAGAAATCTCGTGTACCGATAATTTTATTTGTCATTAATTTGTTTAAACACTCATCGAAACTATTTGTCATTCACTTCCAAATTATGTTTCTAATATAAAATTAAAAAACAAAACAACCAATGACATAATAAAATCACAAAAAAATGACTTGCGAATATCAAACATGCAATATAAATTTGGCGCCCAGTCGCCTTTAAAATGAAATCTTTTCGTTTTATGATATTCATTCTAAACTATTTTGTACATTTTTATTGGTTTTTATTAAATTTACATTTGAACAATCCGAAAAACCATGCTATTGAGTAATACGTTGAAGAAATCACACCCAAACAAATTGATCACAAAGCGTCAGGCGATGAAGTTGATAAAAAGCGTTGCAGTGACAATGGAGAAAGCAGCAATAATGGGGCGCGACGGCAATGTATGTGGCAAGGCAGAAAGTAATGGCAATAAAGCGCAGTAAAAAGAAATTATATAAAAAACATGATTGTAGACTGAAAATATTAACTTTTTAACATGATGACATAAAAGCAAAGTAATAAAGAAAATTCTCGTACGTTGTGTACACGAAAGAAAGAGTATCTTTTCTTGTGGCAAGAATAGGCACCGCCGCATTGGGAGAACTGAACAACAACAGTTAATTTATAGATATATCTCAGCATCTGCCGTAGGACCGACAACACACTTTCGGTGAGGTTGTTTAGATCTGGATTTTCACACTAAACGAAATGTTATTGTATAGTTCGCTGATTTTTTCGAAAGATGCCAGTGGAATACTATAGATGACGTTGAAAGCCAAAGTATATTAAGATTCGGATGCAACGGTGACTATCCTCATCGACGACGCATTAGGTTGAAACGGATTGCTTTTTGGAGACATAGCAGATCCGATAGATGAGCTGCTGGATGGTGATCTGAAGTCTTGAGTTTTTGTGGAAGCTTCGTGGAATCCTAAATCCTCATCGCTTTTTTCTTGGCTCGATTCTTTCTTTATAGGGGTGAGACCAAAAACGGCTTCAGTTGAACCAACGCTTTCTCTTTCGGTGGTACCAGTGTAAACAGCTGAGTCACGTGACGTGGATCTTCCGGGATCGGTGATTTCGTCTTGACTATCTTGCTGTTTATTGGGCAAAAGTGATGATTTTGATATGCTCATCGACTGGTCTTTGTCGTTTCCAGATTTAGGGCTCTTTGGCGTTAGCATCAATGAAGATTTTTGTTTCTCGTATTCTGCCATTTGGAATCTATTTGGTCCCCCAAAGTAAAGAGCCTGGCGAGCAAGATCAATTGTTTTCTGCTCATCGCCTTTCTTTGTTTCGGATTGAATCTTCCATGAGTTGTCATCTGTTTCGGTCAAACTTTTGTTTGGTGTTGAAGTCAGCATTTTGTTCTCAAAGTTGGAGTTTTTGTTGATAGCATTGATCTTATTGCTATTATTTTCGTTGTGCGATTTCTTAAGTTGTTGTCTCAATTCTTGCATCATCGTATCTTCTGGCTTACAGTATGCATATCGATGGTTCATGTGTTGTGAGTATGAGCCTGCAAATTGAGAGATTAGTTATAAATAAGTTTGGAAAGAAGCAGCATTCAGAATAGAAAAATAAATACATAGAAATACACACGTACCGGAATGAGAGAACCTTTTGCCGCATTTATCACATTGGTATGGTTTTTCACCGCTGTGCAAACGTTGGTGTTCAATTAAGTGATGCTTGTGCTTGAAAGATTTTCCACAAACATTGCAATGGTGTGGGCGTTTTCCTGTAAATATAATTGATGATTAAATGAGGTCTCATAAAACAAAGTCTCATACGTCCTTCGAGGTATTCTTTTAAACACATTAAATGACAAATAAATATATTCATAAATACCTGTGTGCTCATATTTGTGTCGAGTTAGAGAACTTTGCTTTTGGAAAGATTTGTCACAGATGTCGCATTTGTACGACATTGCGGTCGTCGCTGGACGGTCAGACATTCTAGACAAATCTACAGTTCTAGCATTCTGAAATGCACTATGTGAGTTATTTTCGTGTACCGAAGATCTTCTATATTTTAAGGCCGATTCGTGCAGCAAGTCCATTTGTCCGTAAAGTCCTAAAATATGATAAAAAATATAATATATATTAACTTGAATCTTCGTTTTATAGGAACCAACACTCACATATTAATATGTAAATGTAAAGTACCTGCATAATCACACGGAGAAGATTGATCTGATGTCCTTTTCTTTGGTCTTCCGCGCCCAGAATATATGCTTGAGGAATAATTTGCTGGAGGCACCATAGTAGGAGGAAATGATCCATTATAACCGAAGTGACTCATTGTCAATGGGTTGGCATAAGTTGATGCCGCGCGTGCAGCCATGGCAGTGCTCAAATTCGGATTCATATTTGTTCTTGAAAACAGTTCCGCATGCTGTTGTCGACTTCTGTTGTCGGACCTGCGATTTCAGCAAATTAAATTGAAATTTAATCTTGATCTCATATTTAAAAAACAGTGCATGTATATGCAGAGAGATATGTAGCATGCTTGTAATCCGATTCTGCATTGGATAGCATTTTAATTGATCGCATAATAAAAAATAAATGGATGAAAATTTCAATTAATCCATTTGACACTTACAATTCTGAACCAAAGGCCATTGGCATGTTATTCTGCGCAATCGTGGATGCAGCATTATGAGCTTTGATTCCAGATGACGAAAAGTCGTATGTAGCTAAATTTCCCATAAGAACAGCGAGTGCTGTAGGTGGCAAAATTCCAGACTGAACCAACTGAAAAAAAATCAAAAAAAAAATTATAATGTTATTTGGAATTTTGAGAACATATGCACTAATGCGGAGCTGAACCGTTAATTAACTTGAAATATTGTAAGTAAATATTGAAACAATGTTGGAGTTTTATAGTAGGTTTTTGTATGTAACGGCACACGAGATTTTATAGTCTTACCCGATGAACATTGCACATCATGGCTGCCGTGCTGGACAATGATGGCATTTCTGGAACTGGCTCCGCTAGCGGGCGGTAAGGAGATGTACGATTTGAGGGAGAACGTGGTTTGACAGTCTGTGCTCTTGTCACGTCAGGTCCAAATGTGATTTCACTTCGTTCGCGCGACTTGTGCGTAGTCAAGTCTAGGGGTTCCTTTTGCGCATTTGCTGAGAGCGGCAACGAAGCTACATCCGCCTTGAATCCGCGACTGATATCGTCTGTCGTCTTTTCTGGTATCGTTTGTGGCGTCTAAAGAAAATAAGTGTTACAATTGATAATTCCTGGCAATAAATATTGTTATCATTTATCAAGTTTTCTGTTTGATTATAGAATGAGACCTTATGACTATTATCAAATTTGAAAAACCTTTGGAAAAAAAGGAAGAAAACATGAAAAGGTTTCATTAAACTTTCTAAATAATCGAAAATTGTCAAAGTTCATTTCCCTTTCCGGTATTCGTGACCGAAGATCACGACAAGCGTTATTAATTTCGTTTTCATTTTAATATTTAACCCGAACCTGTAACTGGTTTTATTTTCGTTAAAGTGAAAACCAACTCAATTGTTTTGGAAAAGAGAAAAAGAAGATGGGTAATAGTGCCTACTTCAAAAACCACGCTACTGAGGCGTTTTTATCGACAACGACCTCTCTTAAATAATATTTGAGAATGAAAATGTAAAAACTAGTTTACTTTTGGCATTAATAAAAGGGGTTATTTGAATGTAAAATTGAGATAAATATAATAACTTGACTCGACCCCGCATGATAAAAATAATATTGGTTTAATTACTATTTTTATCACTTTAAACCTAATGTAATTACTTAACGTTTCTGTTAACGAAATTCATTAGTTTGGGCAACTATGAAACGTTTTGTTTCCCATATTGACTTTCTGTCACGGACTGTCACGTGATAAGAAAATTTCCTAAATAAATTCATTAATGTGTTTTGCTTGTTTATATTTTTTTAAAAAACATTATAAAATTACATTAGGCATATAACAATAAGGATCATTACATGACCTGGCATAAGTTCCTAAAAAATTTCCAATTTATAATAGAGAAATCAGATTTAAATTTTACATGTTTTGATGTTGCTATATGATTACAATATTTTTTTTTTGCATTCAAAACTTCGGAAATACCAGAAAATGGAGCATGTTTTGATTGGATTTCAAACCCATGAACACATGCATAGTTGTAATAAACAGGGACTCTGAATTCATAAAAATCTACCGATATGAAAGCTCGTGAGAATAAAAAATTAAAGAAAGAGAACAACATTATTAAGTCAGCGAGCGCTTAATTATGATTTCAAAATAACTTATTATGCTTTACTTGAATGTTGCAAAAACAGAAAGATTTCTGCGTGAAAATTTAACTCATCCAACTGACATTTGAGTAATTCTTTAGTTTTCAAACTTTTTCATGCATAGCATGCGATGATATTTATTTCAATTTTTCCGTTGCAACGAATAATCGAGTTCAACGAATGAAACTAAATTTGAAAACGTCAAATTATTCCCGCCAAAATTGCCCGGTAAATATACACGAAGTTCTTCAACCGTGGATTACTGAAGGAAACGGCGGAAAAGCTTGTTTAATATGAAAGACGCGAAAGTGCGGAGGCTAGGATCAAGAAATCGGTTGTAGTCCTCGAACTATACACTCAATATGCACGCCGACTGTTTCCGATAAAGCGTCTTCGCGGTATATACCATTTATCATATTATACTACACGAGGAATGCTCTTTTTAGTATCTCATTTTGAAAATTTTACAATTTGTATCAATCTTTTAACAGGAATGAGTGAAATCTAATTAAATTTTTCTAAATATTCCTAACTTGTTTTTTTCACGGCAATAGCGTCAAAAATCTTAGTCGAATTCATGATGCTAAATTAGCTATCGATGTAAAATTTATTGAATTTAAAAAGAAATAAAATAACTGTAGAACGCTTTTATCCACGCTTAAATGGTTTAAAAAGAACCACACTGGCTTGTTTATCGTGAGAATGGAATATGACCAAGTATACAATAAAATTGAGCGCAAGTGATTGGCTGCATACCTGATATATTTTTCCGCCATTTTGAACCGCTACAGAAGCGAGAGCCATTTGGTACAGCTGTTGATGAAGAAGTGCCGGATATGCGACGGCCATTGCGTTCATGGCTGGAAATCCAGCTCCGAATGTGGCGTTGTTGTTGTTTTGATTGAAAATATCTGAAACAGGTTCCTTGGTCGGTTTGTAGTGATTGGGACTAGTTGAGGTGCGGCTGTGCCATTGTGGAGACGTCGCCAATGTATGACACCGAGTCAAGGGAGGTGGGGAACGGATCATGGGCCACTGCGGTGACTTCAAATTCCTTTTCGGTGGTGACATAACCTAGAAGTTTGAAATGGTTTATGTTAATTGATTAAATCCGTAAATGAACTATCACTTTTTTCATTCTTTTCCCGAAGATTCGATTCACTAATGATGAAAAAAGATTACCTCTTGCTTGTTTCTGATGAGCTCTTGGTGGTTTTTCAAACTGTTGAGATAATGTTGCAAAATATAATTTTTCGGATTGAATTTTTCTTTTCCTGAATGTTCTCTCATAGATGCTTCAAGATTCGGCATAGTGTAATCTATAATGATAAATGAAATATTTTTAAATTCATTTAGATTTCTAAGATGAGCGTTTTATAAAGTCACAAAAAACTAAATCGAAAGACGACAAAAAACCCTTAGCTTAATTCTAAAAACAGTTACTCTTTTTCATGTTAAATATCTGGAGATTGAATGAGGTTCATGAATCATAATCTTAGATGAAATAAAATATCTCGCAATTCCGACTCGAGGTGAGTTTTGGTTCCTATAGAATTCTGTTAATTAAGTAGCAAAATTTGCCATCGTCTGTGATTTTATTCGAACAGAAGTCGTACAATTATCGAACTTTGATTATACCTGTGGTGCTATCAAATGCACTATTTGAATTATTCTCATTTGCCGACTGGTTTTTCCCGTGAACTGCGTGTGCTTCAGGTGCCATCGGTGCGTTGGCGATCATGTCGTTTTGGTTACGACTTTCTTCTGATCGCTGCAAAAAGTGAAATTGTATTTATTTAATCACAAAGTATTGGTATTTGTCATTTATAAAAATTATAAGCAACAACGCTTAAGACCTAATGTACTCAACAAATTAAAATATAGTAGTCGTAAAATATGATCGAACTTACCTCGGATGGTGTTTCAATTTCTCGCGGCGGAGGAACTAACTTGCTAGCGGCTAGAAGTTGATCCACACCGTGGGTTAGATGGTTCTGTTGCCGGGTTATGTGTTTATTCAATTTCTCCAGCTTGTATTCGGCGCTGCCTGATAATATGTTTGAGTTTTTGTTGTCTATTATATTTTCTTTAAAGCTGAAATACAGAAATAATTCATATTATCACAACAGGTCCTGAAATATATAATTGTAATATGTAATTGTCTCTGTCCTGCCGAATAAGAATCACTAAACAGCGAAGACACCCTGATCATCTAGATTCTCGAACCTTCTTGCAAGGGACTAGCGACATAACTAAAGACCATTCTCAAGAAGTTTCTATTATA